TATTTTTCCTGAATGTTGTCTGTTGTGGTAAAAATACAAAAACTGATTTGAGAAAAAAATCTTTGTTTGAAAAATGGTTTTTAGACAAAAATTAGAAGGAGTTAAAAATGTGTAAGAAAATGTGTATTGTTATGAGATACAGCATACTCTCATGATGGCTATTAAACGGCAGTGACAGATGTATAGGGTCTAAAAGGAAAGCTTTGGTGGTGTTAAAGATTTTTCTAGAAGATAATATGAGATGAGAGCATTTCATATCTGCAACAGCAATATTTATCTTTGAATAGTTTTAAAATACAGTGTATTCATTTTCTATCTTTGTTGCAACTACTGAACTTGTACTTTCATAAATAAATTTCTTAGTCTAGTGGATGTACTGCCCTCATATTCTTTCTAGGTTGTACTGTATATTTAACGACAAAAAGAATGTGGTTGGAGGCAATACTCATTGAAGTATGGTGATAAACATATGAAATTCAATCTTGTTCAATTTTGTTGAGTCTAGGAACAGCTTATGGAGGCAAAAGATAAAGACAGAGATAGGGTCAGGCAAAAATAAAGCACATTTGTACATAATCCAAATTAAACACAGTATATTAAACATTTCATAATTTGACAGTCTATCCAGGCCTTTCCCTTCACTTTGACAGCAGACGCAAATCTCACCAGTTGCAACAGACTCAGCCTTTGAAAAGCTCAATCATACTCTCATAAATTTAGTGCTTTATTCTTTTTCGCCTTGCTTGATCAAACATTCATTTATGCCTAGATGTGTCAAAGCACTCCAAAAGATCAGCAGGCAAATTGTGCAGGCCTAGAAAGCTCCAGCCGTTACACTTAGGACAGAACAGCAATTAAAACAAAATAAGTGGTTCAAATTACATTTCGGATTTAGTAGTGGGCTTTATCTGTCAAAGCCAGTGGGTTGAAATAAGCAATTTGCAGGTTTCCAGCCACCAAAAAATTATGAAATATTATGTGGAGATCTTATCCCAGTTCCTCTAACAATGCAATTTCTCTTCTCCACCTCCGCCTTGCTCCAGGTTTGCACCGCTTCTAGGGAATTAGGTTTCACGTGTTGCACAGAAGAAGGGGGAAATAAACTAGTGCACTAATGCAACTCTTCTTTAGTTCAGCTTTTGATGTGAATAGTCAATTAGCACTTCCTGAAACGTGAAGATAAATGTGAGGCTTTGCAAAGGGTAAATACAAGTCAAATGTCGTACACATCCAAGCCTCACTTTTTGGAGAGTTAACTATAATTTCACTTAACAAGGAAAGGGTGCAAAACATAGTATGGTGAAGTATAAGCCAGACTGAAGAAACTAGCCATTCTTCTGTTTTAGCTAACTTGGTGTAATATAGATTACAAAGATGATTGGCTGCCTAATGTAGTTCTTATAATTATTTCACTGTTTCTTTAAAAACAGTTACTGTAAGTTGCCTTTTGTAAGTTCCTGAAGAATGAAGGAAGATCGGTATAAACAAAAACAATATTATTTCTTATATAAGATTTTTAAAGTGTAGAAATCTTGGCATTTCTACGTTCTGTGGTCAAAAGAATTACAGTATTTACAAATTGTCTTGCTAATCATTAATTACTGTAAAGAACTGGGAAATTGGAGACAAGCTAATACAATATCACAGGGCTGCATGTATGCCAGAGATACATAAATAGCGTGGGAGGGACACTTGCTAGTGGAATAAAAATAAAAGCTGCCAACAAATCCTAGGGCTGATACTCTCAGCCTGTCAGAAACTGTTGGGGGAAAAAGGCCAGTTTTGTTTTCTCGTCGGTACATTACAGTCTGCAAAGCTATCTGCATTTTAATTACAATCCTCAGTAAGAATTGGAGAACGCAATACGATGTGTATATACAGTATATATACAGTAGTGGGTTTGTTTTTTAATAAAGCTTTGAGTGAGTGAAGAAAAGGGGATTTAGTCAATCTAAGTTAGACAGCTAGATAGGTAAGAAGTACATCTCTAAAGTTCCCATGAACATGTTACAGTCTAAGAAAAGTCATTTTGTTGCATAAGTGTGTTTATAATGAATACAACCAAATTTCTTGTACTAGAATGGTTTGGGGAGGCAGTAAAGTGTTAGCATGGCTGTCTCGCAGCGCTGGGCCTCTGGACTGCTGTCTTCGTGGAGTCTGAGATGCTCTGGTTTCCCCCCACAGTGCAAAGACATACAGTACTTTCCTCAAAGACATGCAAAGGTACTGTATGTTAACTGGCCTCTGGGAAAACTGGTGTGAATTTGTGCCCTGCCTTGCACCAAGCTAGTGTAGGATAGGCTTGGATAGACTCTGGCTCCCCCTCAGCCCTGAATTGGAAGAAGCAGTTAGAAACTGGATACATGGATAGAATGGTGTGCAGTGCAAAGAAATTAAGGAGCCATTAAAGTATCGAAACCAGGATGGTTTTTAGTGTATCTGCATTGGCATGCTGAATGTAAGAATTCAACTTACATTTTCAGCTTTTTGTTGCTGCAATTATTATTGACACTAAATCGTAGATATTTTATAGGTAGAAGAATGAATATCAGTGCTTTTAAAGGTCTTTAATTTTGTGGATTTCTGCTGCATTAAAATAGTGATCTCAACTTTTACTTATAAACTTTTTATTATTAATAGACTTTTTGGCTATTGTAGTTTTCTGCTGTGAACTACAAAAATGGTTTAAACAATATTCTATAGACATTTTGTTGCATGTCTGCTGTTCCCTCGTTTAGTAGATATTTCAAGGTTTTAACCTGTGTTTACCTGTGTGTGTAGTTCACAGCTACAACTTTCAATGAAACCATCTCTTGGTGTAAAATAATCACATGTTGATTTCTTGGGCTTTAAACTCACATTCAAGGTAATTTTATTGCTTCTCAGCAGTTTATACCAAATTTAAGTTTGGCTGGTTTTGAAGAGCCGTAGTAGTCAGCAAAATGTCTTTTCAATTTTCGTTTTTCAGATGAAGATTATAAATACTGAACCCCAGTGATAAGGAAAACCTCCTTGGTGACTGTTTTTATAAATAGTCAAACCCTATTTCAGTTCAGCTCCTCATCCTGATCAGGAGATGTATACTGTACTGTAGCTGTAAGATGTTTCTGCATTGATGTCATGTCTGCTGATCCCAATGCAAGCAAGCTGCTGAGTAATCTGTCTTAAAAAGCAATCATTATTCAACATTAAAACATTCCCAAACAGTTTTTTTTCCTTGAACCTTTAGGGAATAACATTTCTATTAAGACTTTTAAGGAACGTCTTTCATTTTGTCCTGCTGATCTTGCTGAAACATCATATGCAGTATAATGTAAGATTGACAGGATTGTGAAAAAAGTGATTAACATGTCTGTGTTACAGGCCTGCTGACAGTGCATGTACTAAATGACCTCGATCCCCTGAAACAATGAAAATTCTCAATTGTATTTGTGAGGTTTGACAGTGGGGTGTTAACATATCATAGAAAAAAGTCAGCTGTATTTTATGAATATTATAGGTTGTATGTTTTATTCTGCAGGCATATCACTCTTGTCTACTTTAATGGTCAATTCACATTGTTGTGCTTGAATCAGTTTATCTAATCATTACATTGAGATTGCATTGTACAATGTGTAAAAATTTCCAATTGTTACTGGCATTCTGAATTCAAGGTAAAATCTCTTTTAATGGGCCTTCATCTTGGAGATAGCTGTGTCTTTTGACCTTTAGACAGTGAGTTTCTGGCTCTAGTAAGGTTTAAAATCTTAGCAAAGTGAACTTTCCTCAAAGATTGAGGTACTGTAGATGACCAGTACTGGGTAGATGTCAAGCCCACTCTCGTTATAAACGTCATGTGTCATTCACTTTCTCATAGATGTGTCCGGGACACTTGTGACTCCAGCTTGAACCCAATTGTCATAGGTCTGATGCAGGTCTTTTCACTTTTCAGAGTTATTTTTTACTCCATCATCAGTTAATGCATGTACAGTATAATAGTGTGTCCCATGATTGAAAAAGAGTACTTCACCAGTACTTCACCGGGTCAAGAAATTGGGTGGCTGGGATTCAATGTTTTTTTTTTCAGTCATGTGATGTTGGTTGCACCTGTCCAGAATTAAATTAGTCAGAAACTTTTTACAGTATTCTCTGGCTGACCTTAGATGATTAATGCTCATGTTGACTGGAAGTCAGACACATGCACAAACTCCCCTTCATTCTTTTTGAAGTGTACCATGTTGAATGGTCATCCTGCTTGTTATCTTTCTGATTTATATTGAGATAGAACACCACAATGACCAAAACATATCTTCTGAGTCTTACAGGGGGATCGACACCAGTACAAACATGTTATTTAATATCTGGTTCTCTTTCATTGACTTCACCTCTAGATTGCTTGGACTGGATTACATTTGTGTGAATTTGCTTTCAACCTTATTTCATCTGTGTTAGCAGAAGGATTTGTGCTCACTGGCATAATGCTACAATTGTGTCCTTCTACCATCATAGCCTCTACCTAAAAACCTATTGCATATAATGCAATTGTATTAGTCTTTTTTCTGGTGTGAACCTAGTATTGGGGAGATTTTTTCTTTTGTATTTTTGTCTGGTTTCAGGAGAACATGGACTGAATTTAGAACACATTATGTGTACAGTATGGGAGCTTTATGTTCTGTAAATAAGAGGATAAAACCTGGTTATCTGCATGTCCAGTGTCCATAACATAAATAAATGTAAACCGTTATTTGTGATTCAATTACAGTATATGCATTTGTCTGATATACTTACAAGTCACCAGTAGCTTTTCCCTCTTTCAGCCTTGGGAAAACTGGGTTTAGTGTGGAGCAATAACAACAAAAGGGTCCACTATAGTGGCTCTTCCATGATTTTTCCCCCCACCACACACAGCTTGGACACATCCTTCACAACACATCCTGTGGCTGAGATGTATTTACAGATCATTTATTTTCACTCTCTTTTGGTGACTTTAATTGTTTCTTTCCTCATAGAAAATCAGCTCAGGTCTGATCAGCAAGAATGAGGAACAGCATGTTCAGTTAATGATAGTCTATTCAGAAACAGTAGAAAATCAATTCACCTCTCTTCCTGAAATGTTTTAAGGTTTCTGGGAATGACATATTAGTGCTTCCAATTTCCTGTTGCTGACAAAGCAAAGGGGGCACAGACAAGTCATTGCTTTATTCTTTTGAGATTTTTGTGATCCACGAAACTATAACAAATCATACAAATGATGATAATTAGAATAAGAATATGTGAATGTGGAAAGAATTCAAGAATACAGTGCCTTGCGAAAGTATTCGGCCCCCTTGAACTTTTCAACCTTTTGCCACATTTCAGGCTTCAAACATAAAGATATAAATTTTTTATTTTATGTG